ATATCCGTTCAGCAGCTCGATCAATGTAAATCCGCTGCGCCGTCTCTAGAGAGTCATCGACCAAAGAAGCGTCCAATTCATTGAGCGTATCAGTCGTAAATGCGCCAATTGACAGTGTCTCGGTCTCTGGTCTTCGACATCCCTTGCATGTGCATCAGTACTACTTAAAGTCTAATGACACAGCAGCCGGAGTCTATCCTCGACTGCCGACTGCCGACTGCTAGCTCCCAGCTCCCATTATACGCTATGCAACCGATTTACAAGTCCCAAGATACCGAGAAAGCCGAGTAGCTTAGATGAGGAGCTTCTCGATCTCGTTCTGCGATACCAAGAGTAGAAACAAGTCAGCTTCGATGCCCTTCTGATAAAATTGTGATGCGATTGTGACGAAGGTATAGCTTGCTCCATTCTCGTCTCTCCCCGGCATTTCGACGGAATGGCAGCTGATCACAAGGCCGATCCATTGCCATTTCCAGCCCACTCGTTCTAAAAGCTTCCGTTCCCAAGTTGATATGGACGGGTTCTTGCACAAAACACAAGGCCTAACGATACACAGGAAGGACCCTCGAGGAAGACTCACCTTGACAGCCTGGATCTGAGCGTTCAACTCCCTAGCCTCGTTGGTGGTGACGGAAGCAGCGATGACGGGTCGCGAGACGCCGCAAGCTCGACCGAGAGCAGTCTTGGAAGGCAAGAAGACGTAGGGGACGTTCTTGTCCTCGCAGAGGAGGGGCAAGTGGAGGACGATCTCGATGGGCTCGACGTCGGCGGTCATGACGATGAACTCGCAGATACCTCGGTTGAGTGTCTTGGTAGCTTCGTTAGCTCTTTCAGGTTGAATAGAATGTCATAAACGAATCCCTCAGTCAGCTTGATGCACCTCCTTTGCCTGGCCGAATCAGAACGGGATCACAAGATTACGGTCCCCACTCACCCCTTCTTGAGCTGCTTGTAGTGCTGAGCCTGCTGGATCAAGTCGAGGATCTACAAGATTTGCACAAGTGACAAGCACGCACTCGTTAGCTTTCGTATTCCGTTTCCCGATGGTCCGAGAAAAAGCTTCAAGGGAAAAAAAAACCCGCGTGTATAGCAAGCCACTCGGAGTCGGACAAGAGACTTCACATACCTGGTTGGTGAGCTGCGCATTGGCGAGCGGGAAAGCCTTAGGGTTGGGCTGGGACATCTTTGGATGCTGTTGGGATTTTCCTTTCTAAGGGCGAGGGTATAAGCGGGCGGAGCGGAAGTGACCTCACGTGTAAGATCCCTGGTCGATTTTTTGGGTTGGTTGATGGAGAGAAGTAAGGAGGATAGATGGTTTGAAGATGTTTCTTGGTTGATGTCGAGGCTGGTTTGGTGGAGTAGAAACGGAGAAGTTTGCGGTCGGTGGAGGGGTGTAGGATAAATGAGAATAAACCCAAAGGCAAAATATTGGTTTACATGGCGTTGTCACGTGCACACGAACCAAGGGTCAGCGGCGGAGATGACCGCTTCCGGTTGAACAGTTGTCCGTAGCTTAGCTTTAGCTACGCGTTAAGCTGTCCTTGTCTTTGTCCGCTACTACGCCGCAATTACAAGCTCGAGGTGCACAGTACCCATGGTACTCCTTTCATCGTTGTGACACGTACAAAGCACTGGGGTACCGTCCGTACACAACATCAAGAACGACGACACGCAGACTGTCACTGCCTCACGCCGACGCTCGCTTCGAACTGGACTTTCGGAGCGCTCGATGCCCCTCGAACCACTCACCCGCTGTCTTCGCGTCACTTGCTTGTAATTGCTTCCACCTCCACTCCCGACAACCCGACCTACATTATCCTCAGCCACGATGACAGGGGGCGCGTTCTTCCCCACGGCGCATGCGGATGATGAGGAGTACGATCTTGATGAGTTGGGCAACGAGCGACATGCTGTACAATGGATAGGAACGGCCAGTGTCAAGGGACCGAAATGGGCTAGACTGCCATTGTTGACAGTGGGGATGCTCGGTATACAGGTGGGTAGCGGGTTATCATCGAAGTATAGTGTCTGCGAATCATTCACTCGGAGCTGACATCGAGCGAGTGACATGGTAACAGTGCGTGTGGTCTATCGAGATGGGATATGCTTCGCCATACTTGCTCGAGCTTGGACTGTCCAAATCATTCATGTCGCTCGTATTTATGGCTGGTCCCTTGTCAGGCCTGATCGTCCAACCACTCATCGGTATATTCGCCGACCGATCGCGGAATCCCCTGGGTCGTAGACGTCCATTCATGTTGATAGGGTGTGCCATCTGCGTCTTCGCAATGATGCTTCTGGGCTGGACGAGGGAGATAGCAGGTATTTTCGGGGCAGGCTCATGGATGGCGATAGGGTTGGCGGTGTGGGCGATATATCTGATTGATTTCAGTATCAATGCGGTCATGAGTACGGATAGGGCATTGGTGGTAGATACGTTGCCGCCAAGGGAACAGGAAGAGGGCAGTGCGTGGGCTGGAAGGATGTTTGGGTTTGGCAGTGTAGCAGGCTTCTTTGTGTGAGTAGATCATATAGCTAGCTCATCCTGCTCACGAAAGAGATTGGCGTTTGAACTAATCGGCTGACGGACCACGTCTAACTCACATCATTATCCCAGCGGCAATCTCGACTTACCACCCGTCTTCCCCTTCCTTGGCAAAACACAACTACAGATTCTATCATTCATGACCAGTGCTATCCTGATCGTGACCCATACCTTCACCTCCTGGGCTGTCTCAGAGCGAGTGCTACTTCGGGACGAGTGAGTGCACTGCCAACTTCTCCTTACGCACAACGCACAACTATGGCTGGATACTGATGTGGCCTTGCGACAGCCGACCGCAGTCTCAAAGCAGCTTGAAATCAAATCTCAAATCAATTTGGGACAACATGTTTTCCTTACCGCCTGGTATCCGCATGATCTGCTTCATTCAATTCTTCGCATCGCTCGGTTGGTTCCCCATCTTGTTCTTCACCACTGTCTGGGTGTCCGAGATCTACAAAGCATCCGTGCCCGTGCCCGACGGCATGGACGAAACCACCTTCGCTTCTCACGCCGTCCGATCAGGCGCTAGAGCTTTACTGCTCCAAGCACTGGTTAACATCGTCACCTCCATCGGATTACCTTTCTTGGTAGACGAGTCGGGAGTTCAACCTGAATCGGCGCATACGTACTCGTCTCTCCAAGAAGATGGACTTGGAGCTAGGAACGGAGGACAAGATGATTCGGACATGCCGCCCAACTCTGCTCTGTGGAAGCGAGCCAGAGAAGAGATACAGGACGGTGGAATTGTTAAGCGAGCTATCAGCTCGATGAGAGGTATCGTTGAAAGTGTCAAGGATGGGAGCGCTTGGGTCCTTCCGATCAAGGGTTTGACTCTGGTCAAGATCTGGTGGATCAGTCAGTTTGTCTTTGCTGGCGCTATGGCAGCAAGCTGGTAAGTGTGACATTTTCCAGGCTATGTTTGTCAATGCTAATGTTTCCTTAGGTTTGTTACGACTGTGACCGGAGCGTACATTGTTATTGCTACGACTGGATTCTGTTGGGCTTTATCGCAATGTGAGTATCGTGGTACGGCATCGCCAACTGTTCAACGATCTCAAGCTGACTGGGCGATCAATGGTATACAGGGGCCCCTTACTCTTTGGTAAGTCAACAAGACAATGAGCGCAAGAAGGCCGCGGCTAACGAACTCCTTCCCATAGCTCGGTGAACTGATCTTGATAGATGGAACGATAGACCGCAATCAACCTCTCAGCATGGTCCGATCTCGCCCCTCCACCGATATTCGACATTCCCTCGCATTACAACGCGAGACAGCCCTATCTTTCGAACCCTCGCGTGGTGGCCCGCCGCAATCATTCAATGACAACTCTTTCGTCATCCACGATGAAGAAGACGAAGACGAGCGTGAGCTTGGGGACGGACGCAACGAAGACGTGCCCCAGCGCAATAAGGATGTCGATGATATCAAGAAAGACAACCTGCCCGGCGGTCTTTCGCCTCTCGTCATACAAGGTGAAAACCCTGCCGAACCAGAACTGGGCTCGACTGTGATTCTCCGGCATTCAGACGAGCTCTCCACCGATTCCTTGGATGATCAACAATCTCAGACTCATTCTCAGCATCGCTCTTCGTCTAATTTCAACAGAGTCGGATCACCCATGACGCCAACCTCACCCAGAATGTACCCCCCAAGCCAATCACACGATAACGGAGGCAAAAACACGGCCGACAAGGCCGGTGTGATACTGGGTATCCACAACGTCTTCCTGGTACTACCGCAATTCGTCGTGACCTTCTTAAGCTCGATCATCTTCTACGTAATGGAGCCCGCGCCTTTGCCGGCACATCATCCGGGACCGGGTACAGGCGTCATACCTGTCCATCCCAACGCTACGGATCTGTCCGCCGCACCCGCAGCCACAGATCCTACCGAAGGACTAGAAGGCATAGTTGAGGTCGCCACGGAAGTGGGAGGGGAGATTGTACGTAGGCTTCTGAAGGGTCGAGCGGAAGGTATGGCTGGAGAAGGGGGATCACCAGATGCTGTGGGGTTGATCTTCAGAATAGGAGGCGTGAGCGCTGCGATTGGGGGTTATCTGTGTTACCGTCTTGCGCGCAATTGGGCAAGGGGCAAGGGTATATAGGCGAGGAGGTATCGACCCAACAGGTCAAGGGAAGTCATAGGATATCATCAAGAAGAGGAACAAGAGGAATCAGAAGACATTCTGTATTGTATTAGACGATAGCGATTACAATAACCTGTGTATAGATTGTCAAGAGATTCTAGGCCATATAACAACCATCATGGTTCTCACCGTGCGGACCACCGAAAGGTCTGATGCATCTCACGGCCACGAAGGCAATGGCGACTCCGTCCCAGATACTCTCGCAGAAATGGAGCGCAACCTGCTACAGTACGCCGAGCGCAGGTCTAGATCTTGCCATTATACAGGTTGAAGGCTAGATAAGGGAATGAAGGACCACCGCTTCCAGCGATAACTTGCCAGAGTGGTTAATGGGTAACATTGCTATAGATCCGCGCTTCGTCTTCCCGCTTGGTAAATCAGGTTGAGCGGTGAAATCATATGTTATGTCTACTAGACGCGAGAGTTCGAACCTCTCAGTTATCAGGACCTGCTCTCTTTTGCTTGGGAAGCTAGCTCCTTCTCCTTATTCTTCTTTTTTGGCTGTAGTCTGTCTCCAGGCCGGTATCGGAATCGGACGGGACGGAAGGGATTGCTGGAAGGGACGAGGAGAATATTGAAGGGTAGGAAGGACAAAGCGATAGCTTAGAACAGGGTACCAAGAGAGCACGGTCCTACCTTACGCGTTTCTCTGACTTTTCGAGAGCGAGACCGGAGACCGTCTAACGGTACCAGAGGCGTTTCTACACGAATCGCTGGAGGGTCTCTTGAAGCCAACGAGACCTCGAGGTTCCGGAGAAGGTAGAGAGGTCTAAGACACATATGCTGATGGATGGTCACTTAAGTTACGGCGGATGGTCGATCGGCGATCGCCGCTGTTCACCGTCCACGCCCATTCATGTTTCCAGTCCAGCGGTCAGCACAAAAAACCGAGTCGTCAGTTGCGCGGAATATGGTGGTGACATTGTGTGTGCTCATCATACCTCCCGCCTGCAATTTAGTTTATCCTTGCGATATAGTCGATCTGAGAACCCCAGAGCATCATGTCGTCCCCTACTGCCCCCACCACTGGTGGTACAGCTTCCCTCAACTCTTCTACATCGACTGTCAGACCACCAAAGGAACCCAAAGCACCCAAAGCACCCCAACCGCACTCTCAATCTCAATCTCAGGCGCAAGGTCCAGCTCAAGGAGGCGACGCCGCGAAGGGGAAATCTGCGAAAGAGCTCAAGAAGGAGAAGCGGGCTGCTGCTGTCGCTGCTCGTGCGGTCGGCGGTGCGGACTCGCCCGTACCAGGAGACGGTCGACCGTCTCTCTCAACGAATAATTCGGTCGATGGTAGACAAGGTGCGGGCTTAGCTGCTGGCGCTGGTGGTATCGGTGGGCAACATGCCGGAGGTGGTGGTGCTGCAGGACCCTCAGCTCCAAGAAGACCGCCCCATTATTCGGAGCCCTCAGCAACGTCCCTCTCTACGATCCAGCAAAATCTCTTCTTTTCCCACTTACCGCACCAAGCATCGCCCGACACTGCAGCAGCCTTGACCACCGGTAAACTGCATCCTATCATCATCCGATTAGGCGTGTTGATGTCGAGCGGACAGCTGAGAGGCGCGAATGCCAGGACCATGGGTATGATGGCTGCGTTCAGAGAGGTGATTAGGGACTATGAGAGCCCGGATCAAGCTGTATTGTGGAAGGATCTGCCGGTTTACTTGAGTCCGATGATCGCCTGGCTCGAGGGCTGCAGACCCAAAGGTGTTGGAGGTGGCAATGCTATCCGGTGAGTAGGGAGTGCAGCGGACATCTCACTTGTCATGATTCCAGGGCGTGCCGCAATGGCCTCACCACGAAGTGCCGACATCTGCTGATGCTGATGGATTGCTTTAGATGGCTCAAGAGCGAGATCAATAGACTAGGAGAAGAGGGTGACCGGTCGGAAACGGAGGTGAGTGCTTGCTCGGCTTTCTCATGTTTGCAGATCCCCCAACTCTTCACTGTCATCATCGCCATCGGATCTAACGCCCTGCACTTTGCCCCTTGCACCTGCTCCGTTCCCCACTCCACAATTTACACTTCACACACATACAGCAAAAAGAATACCTCGTCGAAGCGATTGGTCTGTACCTTCGAGACCGAATAGAATTCGCCGGTAAAGTCATCGCGGATAATGCTAAGGAGAAAATCAGACCCGGTGATACTGTTGTGACGTATGCTCGGTGAGTAGCTCGTTTCTACAAGAAGTCGCACAAATATTCCCGCGAAGCTACGTTCCTTCATCTTGGGTTCACAAGTAGATAATCAGGATTTTATCGTGACAGGACAATCCCAGCTGACCCGCCTGAGTTCTCGTGTAGATCTTCGGTCGTTGAACGAGTCTTGCTGGAAGCCTGGCGGGATATGAAGGCTGAGAACCCCGAAGCGAGCTTTAAGGTTGTGGTCGTTGATTCCAGGCCGTTACTGGAGGGTGAGTTCAGCAGTCTTTTCCCATCTGATCGCTCTCCTCACCGGAGCGTCCTTCTGTTGTTTCCGTATCATGGGTCAAATGGCCAGTAGCTAACGAATTGATGGATGTTTTCCCAAATCACTTAGGCCGACACCTGCTCGACGCCCTATCTTCCGCGGGCTTACAATGCTCCTACATCCTCCTTCCGCTCTTATCCTCAGTGCTCCCTCAAGCCGATCTTGTTCTTCTCGGCGGCTCGGCTCTCCACTCCGACGGTGCACTCTACTCTCGATCAGGAACCGCCCTGGTAGCTATGCTAGCGAAGGAGCACAGGGTCCCCGTGGTAGCGTGTGTCGAGACGTACAAATTCGGGGAGAAAGTTGTATTGGACGGTGTGGCTACGAACGAGCTGGGCAGAATTGATGAGCTGTTGAAGAATCCCCTCAGCTCGGGCGATAAGCTCGATCTGACGGCTGCCGGTGCCAATGAGAAAATGAGGCAGAACCTCACGCCCTTGCATCTCGTGTACGACGTCACGCCGCCGTCGCTCATTACTGCGGTTTGCACAGAAGTGAGTGGGCGTGGGTCCATCCCCTGGCTAGATTTTCCTCCTTTTTCAAACCTCGCTAGTCTGTCAGAGCCCAACCATCAGCGATCTGCTTTGTTTTGGTTGGGTTCTACGGTTTTCGCTCTTATCATGCCTTGGCTTCCCCTGCTGACAACCTCAAAATCGAACCTCTTCTTGTGGTCATCATTCTAGATCGGCTTCATCCCGCCTAGCTCCGTACCGACCGTATTGGGCAAGACGAGCGGCATCATCTAAACAAATTGGACCATAGCGCTCGGGGGGGAGGGTTAGATAGGTGCATGGAGCAGCGCAACGTACAGTGATGCATTCCTGGCTATACGTGGTAGCCATATGAGCGCATGATACATGCTGTAGATTTGTTACATCGACGTAGATCATGCAGGTGTGCAATAGAAGTACGCATGCATGGATGCATCAGAAAATACGCTTCATATTCAGTGCTCGACGATGGTGAGGGTCGTAATCGACGCGGGGATTGTGCAGAATCTGGTATCTAATCATCCCTACATGGTGTAGTTTGTCATGTTCAAAAGCCTGATTGTACGATGGATAGGAATACCGAAGCAAAGCAGATCAAAGACTGAGGCTAGCAAGATTTGGAACAAGCAAGAAAAGAGGAAAAAAAGAAAGAAAGAAAGAAAGAAAGAAAGGAGTCCCTTCTCCAGACCAAGCGACTGAACATAGTCAACCTCGTTCGTCCGCTTGATGACCCATATCCCCCTCGTCATTCAGGTATGTCCAGAGTGGCCACAGAGCTAACACACCCCACGTCTATGCCAAGAGCCGTTCTCGCCTTCTCAAGCTATCGACACGGTCAGGTGGCGGAGGTCTATTCTCGTTATCCTGTTCTTCATGTTCTTGTCCCTCATCCTTGTCCTCCCCTACGCGCCTCATGACTCTGCTAGTCATCTTCGTAGAAGGATTTAACTGTACACCATGTCTTCGACCATACCCGGCGCCTGTGCCGAGATTCTGAGCTCCGGGCGCAGGAGTCTGGGGTGGTAATGTCTTGGGTACGGACGGGAACGGAGTATGATTAAGTAACGCCAAAGACGATCGTCGGCGCGAGGCCGTGGCGGTCACTGTCGAAGGACCTTTCAGAGGACCCGCAGCTGAAGCTGGAAGAGGAGTGGCGTAGGTGCGATTATCGTCGAAGTTCGCTTTGCGAGAAGTACCGAGCGGAGTAGCGCCTGCCACGCCTTTTACCGCGAACTTTCGCTTCATCTATGACCGCACAAAAGGAAAGCTGGTCAGCTCTGTGCACGTAAAGGCCGTTCGACCCTTCACGGACTCACCAGTTCAAGCTCTTGCTGTTTCGAATCAAGCGCAATATTCAGCATCTCTCTATCCTCCTTGAGCTCTGCTTTCCTTCGCTGGAGGTTAAGGATCTCCAAGTCTTTTGACGCTGATTCGGAACGGAGTTTCGCTACTTCTGCTTTCAGTGACGACGATGGAGGAACAGGTGGTTGAGGAGCAGATGTGCGCGAATGAACGAGTTCCTCGCGCGTTGTCTGTAGACTTCTTTTCAACTGCAAAATGGTCCGTGTTGAGTCAGCTCTGAGATGACGCGATCAAGCTTCGTAAAACCTGTCGCTCACCTTCCCGTTTTCCCCCTCCGCCGCTTGCTTGGCTTCTTTCTCTTGTACTAGCGCTCGCTCCACCTCCTGCCGTCTGAGCGATTCGATCTCTAGTCTTCGCTCGATCTCAGTGAGCCGGCTCTTCAAGTCATCCTCCCTCTTCCTGCCGCCCTTATACCTGTCAACCTCTTCCAACAAGTTCTCGATCTCTTCTTCGTCAGCCAGCTTGACCTCCGTCAAGTCAGCCACATGCTGCTTCAGCTCTGCGATCTTCTCCTTTGCCTTCTCCAGCTCGATCTGAAGAGGCCCGGCCGAGGACTGAGATCTGGCCTCGTCCAGTTGCTGACGGGTTTGTTCTAGCTCCCCTCTCAGGATCCTCATCTCCTCCTCAACGTGATCGCGCTCATCGAGCAGTCTGTGTGCATCCTCGAGCTCAGCACGAATAGCATGCAGCTCATCGTCCTTCGAGTCCAATTGATCAAGCTGTTGGTGGGCACTTTCCACCTCGGCTCGAAGCGCGTGTAGCTCATCTTCATTCGCCTCGAGATCGGTAATATGGCGCTTCGCATTGTCCAACTCCTCCTGGAGAAGCTGGATCCGTTCTTCGCCGTGGTCGTGCTGTTCCCTTTCCAGCAGGTCAAGCTGTTGGTGGGCATCTTCCAACTGCGCTTGCAGAGTGTGAACCTCATCTTCCTTGGCTTCAGCTTGGATCAAGCGGTCCCTTTCTCTATCCTCCAGAGCGCTTATCTCCTTCTTGACCTGTGTCAACTCTGCTTTGATCTCGTCTTCGCTTGTTCGAGCATTGCGCAATTGCTTTGCCATTCCTTCGGTATCCGACACAGCCTTAGCTAGCCGAATCTCGAGCTCTTTCGCCTCT